AAGCGCTCCACACATGCTTGGTACTGAAGATTGGTGTGTATTTACAGCTGTTCAAAAAGGTGTGAACAACGATTTCCATATATCTATGCGGGGAATTGGGAAATTATCATTAGTAAAAATTGAAGATCCGATTTGGAAGTTTTTGAAATCTGGGAATTTCCCGTGATATAGTTATTTGCGTCTGTTCACACCTTTTTGAAAACAGCTATAAAGAGGGTATACATAGTGCGTGTATTTATGGAGGGTTGACTGTATTTAAACTTTTATATATTTACCGTATTTTCGCGGAATAACGCTCATCTGCGCTATTTTGAGTACGCGCATGGGCGTTATTTTGAGACAAATGTAAAAATTTTAAGCATGTCTAAAACAAAAAATGTTCCGGAGCTAGGTTGATATTAAATGAATCTAGTTCCGGAGCATTTGTTGTGATGCGCGTTATTTCTGGACGCGCATGGGCGTTATTTTGAAGCTATATATGTTATTTTTAGGGGGCGCAATTTTCGAAATAATGCGAGCGTTATTCCGCGAAAATACGGTATATATTTTATATTTATATAAACATAAAATTCAAAAGTGTATTAGTAAAAATTTATTTGATTTACGTCAAATTTTTAGAACATAAGCTATGTATCAACCTTTTAAATTTTTTGATTAACATTAATTAATACACTAAAATTAATTTATTTTTTATTTTTTTTGAATATATGTGTATCACTTGTTTAGAACGGTTCCCTAGTGTTTTCAGTCTCAGTTTCAAAAATGTTCTCAATGATTTAAACCTCTAATCATCTTATTGAATAGTAGAGAGAATTAAATTATATATGTTAGTAGTTGGGGACCAAATAACTATAAAACTGGTTAAGAACCGATCCTTATTCAGTCTTTTAGAACTGATATATTCCTATATTTGTTGTTAAAGAAATTTTTCTATTAAAGTTAAAAGTATAGATATTTGAAAATTTTATTGTAGTAAAATCCCGCAAATTTTTGATGCAGAAGTTGAAATAATCTAAAATACAAGCATGGTCGAGCGAATTTTTTTGGATTGAAACTGAATTAAGACTTAAAAAAAAAAAAAAGAAAGAAAACTTACGTAAGTTACATGTAAGTTACATCCCAAAAAGTAAAACTTACGTCAGTTAAAATAACTTACGTAAATTACCCAACCCTACGAATTATTCAACCCTACGAATTCCCTAAATAATTACTTTTTGTAAATAATAAGAAATTGATTAGTAATGGTTATCTTTGGTTTCATTATTTTATAGTGTTTGAACTACCGACCCTTCACACAATTTGGAAATTAAATTGCGCAAAAAAGGGCACTGAGATGTTCTTATATGATTTGATATACGCAAACTCATTTTGACACTCCAATATCAATTTTTAAGAATAGCGTGATATAGAGCAACACTGAGGCGATTAAGAACAAAAAATCCCAAATGTTTTATAATATAAGATATTAACTTACTCGTTTTCAACAATGGTGACCTTGTGATGCTATAAGATTAAATACATTTATTAATGCTTACGTTTAATAAATGTGAATTTGCGAAAAAATACTTTCTAACCTTACCATGACTAAAAGAAAATTATTTACAATCTTTCAGGTCTCTTTTGTTGTTCTCTTATATTTTTACGTACATCAGAATTCCATTGTTTTAGGTATTCCTGAAAGGGCTTTTTCTCTGGTTTTTTTAACGTCTGTGGCATAGCAGGCAAATCTAAATATCTACGAATCGTTTTATTATTCATAAGTACTGATTGTAAAACACTGAATATTGTTGAGCTCATAAGATACATATGGACTGACTTTGATATAAAATAATTGATATAAATAAATTATTAGTGTTTATTTTAACCATTGAATGATTAAATGGACTAAATAATATTCTCAACCTACTGAAGACAGAGACATTGCAACTGGTATAGATATCACAGTTACACCACGAAAGGCCCATTTCATTGTCTGTGCTTTCGGAGTGTTGATACGAGAGGCATCGCTTGTCTAAACCGAATAAATACATTTATATATTGATAGATTCTAATTTATTCTTTGTACTTTGATAAAATTGTCAATGTTAATACCTCCATCATTGCTATAAAAGTTGCAGACATTAATAAAGGTAAAATATAATATGGATCCGGAATGGTTAAATTCTGGAACCATAAAGCACCACCATTTTCAAAGCCTGGCACAGGAAATTCAGCCATTTTTTTTACAGCAAGGAAAAAGCTGATCATCACCGGTGTTTGTAAAACAATAAGGTATAAATTTTTCCACGGACTAATTTTATTTTCAGTATAAAATTCTCTTACTTGTTGATGCTTACGCATCATCAAGCTAGAATCACCGCTATTTTTTGCCTTTTTAAAGTCTTCCATCAACTGCTCTATCTTTGGTTGTAAGGTTATTAACTTGATCGTGTTTCGTTGAGAATTGACAATAAGGGGTAAAAAGAGCATACGCATTGCAAATGTTGTAAAAACTATTGTGCTCCACCACGGCAAGCCGGTATAAACGTGAACAGCCTCGAGAAGTGGGTTTATTAGTATAATCCCCGATCACTATATCAAGATCACGGGAGGATTAATTAATAATATCCTGACCGTATGTGAATAAGCGGAAACGAAGGTTCCGCTAATTCCCAACGGATCAGGATATTATTATTACAAATTCTCAGGCATAATTAATTAGCTTTTTTTTTAAGAATTTAGGGTTAGAGTTTATAATAAAAGAGTATATGTGAATTTGAGTAGGGTTTATATTTTTAAATTGAGACCCAAATTCTCAGCTCCAAGCTTCATCCCCGACATTTAATATCATTGGTTAATTTGATTTTCCAGTTGTCCAATTGCCAACACTGATTCAGATATTGTATACGTAATTGGTAAAATTTGATTGGTCCTTATTTACCTCTCAAACTTCTTTTATAATAAGCCGATAAAAAGACTATTTATTGTCGCAGATCGTAATGAAATGAAATTTGGAGTTTCTATTTAACCTCCTAAAATCCACTTATACTTGTTTACCATTAATTCTACCCCTAAAGCTGACCCCTAACTCTAAAAAAAAAGCTAAAAATATGCAGCCCAAAATTTTGTATTTTTCGATGGCTTGTCTATTTTACTTTATACAAAATTTCATTTTAATCTGATTTCATTATAATCTGTCACATTTATTAGGGATTGGAACCGTTTTACCGTTTAAAAATTGCACCATAATTCCGGGCAGAATTATGTTGGTCGTGGGCCGGATTATCTTAATGCCGGCCAAATTAAACGGTTAAACGGTTAAATGATTAAACGATTAAGAAAAATTTTAGGCGGTTCCAATCCC